AGGACATTGTCTAGCTGAAAGGTCCACCAACAGTCAAGTTTCTGCCAGTTTTTCTAAGCCTAACCCACATTTTTACCTCAGAAACTGAAAATAGACAGCTCTTTCAGGTTTAAAAAAAAAAAATGAAAAGTAGCTTTTCTAAAAATCTTTTTCAGGACCATCTTGTCAGGCCTGGCATCATTAACAGTGCTTCTCTTTGATTTTCCTAAATAGTCAGGATACCTTTGTCCTGAAAATGTACAAAACAAACATACACGCACTCTCCATCATTAAGTAGCATGCGTTCTCATTGGAGTGATTGAGTTAGGCCACCTGCGTTAGCCATGCGCACACCTCTTATCATACATTAGCCTCACAGAATGGAGGCTGTCCAGCCACTTTAGAAATTCTATTAAATTTCTGTCAATACTATGACATGATATGAGTGTCTTCCCAGTAAGGCTTGTGGAGGAGATAATAGGCTGTCATTAGAGTCCTGGTGCTAAAAGCTTATGGGTTGTAGGCTGAACTTCTCTTTTTGGGCCTGCCCAAATTATGTCCTAAGCCCTTTAGCCCTCCCCCAAGTCAGTTCTTTGGTTATAGCAGCAACAACTCAAGAGTGCTCAAGAACATCTCCCATTCAAAGGATTTGGCGTTGTCCCTTTTAACTTATTAAAATCTACCAGAGTAGTTGGGCCACAATGGATGTCCAAATTGGGCATGGTAAAATGTAGCAACTTGACAAGTAGGCAGCTGTAAGTAACTTCATCCGCTATGATTGGTCCTAGCCTGTATTGCAAGGATTTTTAGGGTAACAGACCATGGGTCTGCATCGATGCAGGCTTCTCCTGGGGGTGCATAGAGGGCACTTATGAGCACCCCTCTGAACCCCAAAATGAGAAAGTGGACACTCTATGGCCTTGCATTCTGCTGGGCCATGTGCAAATGAGGACAAGACTCAGGGGTGGTGCCACACCTCCAAAAGTGGTGGGGCAAAACATTGTTTCCAAGTGGCTGGTTGAGTGACGAAATGCAATTAGGCCACTGACTAAAATTGCCTTTCATGTCATGCTAAGAACATGTCTTTATAAACTTACTCAGAGGTGGGTAGTAACTGGTTACATTTAACCAAAGTACATGTACTTCACTAAAATACTGAGTATTTTTCAAATCATATTACTTTAATTTCAACTAAAGTGAGCAAAGGAATCTATTTCCTCTGTTACGTTTTAGTCATTCATATTTAGATACTACTTCCATTTTTTGTATGTGTTCAATTTGTTTTGATGGAGGTAATACAGCTTTGTGATTGGTTACATCCTGACTTTGGAGCTTCTGTATTTTAGACCAAAAGAATCCCAAATAGAGAACAACAGAGGCACACAATCTTCAGTTCCTGTGCTGAAAAAATGCTAGATGTAGTAGAAGTTTCACTGTAGTACTGAGTACTTAAGTAGTTTTTCATCCTGCTTCTTTTGCATTTCTACTCAAGTTGTTTTGGGGAAAGTACTTTTACTTGTGTAATTATTTTTTGGAAGTATCTATACTTCTACAGCTTCAGTAGCTGCAGCCTCAGATAGCAGTATTTTTAGCTAACATCTCTGAAGAACATCAGGCTGTTTTCAGGCCCAGTTTATTTTCTAAAAACGCAGCAGAGTTTTTCATGATGTATCTCTTTCATTTGGTTCAGATGGCGGACTGTAAGGGCTAAAGTGGACTAAATTACACACGTGGTGTTTGTTTATTGATCAGAAGTTTAGCAAGCGCTCTGTTACTCTCACATTCACCACCATGAAAACAGAGAAACATAAAATAGAGACACCTATCGTCTATGTGTATACCAGTTTCAATTTAAGGTCGCTGATGCTTGGCAAAAAAGATGCTCCACCGTCCATGTACCAAAAATCTAACGCATATAATTATTTTATTGATTCTCTCCCGTTATTTACAGCAGTGCGCAATGCAGGAATGATATGAGCATTTGTAAAGTGTAAAATGTTCGAGCAGCAGATTGTGTAGACAGTACTGCGAAAATGTGCAGTTGAAAAAATGTGCTCTGGTTTTGAATTCCGTTGAAAATCACAGTGGTTCAGTTGTTTGGTGCGGATCTGAATTTGGGTGGAGTCAAATGTCAAAACCGAACTAAAGAAAAAGTTGTAAAGGTCCGTACCAATCAAGGCAGGTCTAAAAGCTCCTCCCAGCTGAAATAATATTCTGATTGGCTCTGCTGCTCAATTTTACTAGTCTTTGCTCAGTCTTTTCGTGCTGGTCAGCACTTCATGCCGTCAGTGGCGGTTTTTATGTGCGCAAACTGAACTCAAAAACAGGTGGGGCGTCGTCACAGTACTGTGAAAGTGGTGGGGCAAATGCCCGCTTGCCACCGTGGTTCTGGTGAAGGGAGTTCGCAATAGGACAGTACAGTTACGCCACTTATCTAGTCACTCACACTTGGTCACAGGAGAACAGATCACCGATCACTCCACTCGAACAAGGAATGTATAACTCCACGTTTCAGACATTGCTAAAGTATATTTGGTGGCTCATTTAAGTCGTTGCCCCCTCCCTCTCTAATCATGTTGAATAACTCTCTCTGTCGCTCTCGTGGCAACAGCAGAGTAGTGTCGCTTTCCTTGCAGTAGAAAACGCCACCAGGGCTGTCGCTAGAATGTGTGAGAATGGTGTATTATATCGAAAATGTATCTAACATTTCTTGCAGTTCTGTCGAGGAAAGTTATATCACGATAATTATCATTTTATTGTCCAGCCCTAAGTCCAAGTGGATTTTGGATTTTCCGCCTGAATTTTCATGCCCAAATCTTAAGGCAAATTATTCAGTAACTACATGAAATGAATATAAATTGTTTTTCTGCTCACAAAGTTGACCGGTTACAGTGGGCAAAGAGACATAAAAATTGAAAGTGTGTTATCTGGTCAGATGAATTTGATTTCTGCCTTTAAGCCTTTAATGAGGACTGTGTGCAATGTGTGGTTCAAGCAGGAGGAGGCTCTGTGATGTTCTGAGGATGTTTTAATTACGTGGGAACGGGTCCTTTGGTTGAGGTGACATTGAGCTGCTGGACAACCAGGTTCATCTTGTCTTATTGATGTCATCCAGAAACTTGTTTAGCCAAATCGAATCACAGCTGTTATTCGTGCTTGTGGAGGTATTTCATGCTATTAGGTATGTTTCAGTCACAGGTGACTTATGAATATTCATAATTGTAATTCGTAGTTCGTATTTCGTAGTTACGGGACATGACTTATTTGAAGCCAAATTTTCATTAGCTATCCTAAAAATTTACATGGAATAGAGGATGACCAACACAAACTGCAGCAGCAGATGAGCCGTTGTCTCTGACTTTACATCCACAAGGTGGACTGACAAGGTGGGAGTGTCTTTAATGACCTGCACATGAATTTCCACTGATATGAAAATCTGCTTTTGTTATTCCTTTTTTAAAAAGAGGAGATCCTAAAATGGTCCATTTCTAGACTTAGCAAAGATTTTAGAATCTTTTGTAAGTTAGCAGCTGAAGGAGTTATTAACAGTGAATAATATCCTCTCTGATAATTAATCTGGTTTTAGAAAAAATATAGTACAATCGCAGCGACGCTGAAGTAATAAATGATACAGTTGTTTTGTTAGATAATGGGTATCATTGTGCAGCCCTTTTTACTGATTTATTGAAGGCTTTTGATACAGTGGATCATACAATCTAGACTTCTAGACTTCTTATGTGCATTGGATTGTTTGAAGACACCATTCTCTGGTTTGAGAATTATTTATCTAGTCTACTCCTTTGATGGTGTGCCTCAAGGATCAATTTTGGGGCCTCTGCTTTTTACTGTATATGTTAGTAGCCTTTGTCATAACATGCCAGTGCAAATTTTTATTATGACACTGATGATACTCTCTACTTTTCAGCACCTACTCAAAATCTCAACTCAAAAACTCAAAAAGGTTTTGTGTAACCTACAAGATGATTTTAGTATTATACAATGCAGATTTTAAACTTGCTTGAAATGTTGACAAACTGAAACAATGTTGTTTACAAATTCAGGGAAAAACCTTCCATCTGTGACCACTTTAAAGGGAAATGTGGTTGAAAATGTGTCTACATACAAATATATCTTGATTTAGTATTAGATAATTCTTTGACATTTAAGTCTCATATTTTGCACATGGTACAGAAATTGATAATTAAATTAGGATTATATTTTAAGAATCAGTCTTGTTTATGTTTTGAATGTGAAAAAGAAACTTGTTTCTGCTACTTTTCTACCAATTATTGATTATGGAGATGTCATTTACATGCCTGCACCTTTGTACTGCTTACATACATTAGGCATTATTTATTTTGGTGCTGTCAGATTTATTACTAATTGACGGTCAGTTACCCACCACTGCATGCTTTATGAAAGAGCAGCTTTTTCCGTATTGACCATGTGTAGGTTAATTAGTTGGTGTGTATATATATATATATATATATATATATATATATATATATCAGAAAGGAACCACTTTCAAAATGCTCCACATTGAATGCACTTAACATGGAAAACTTTTAGCTTTTAGTTATGCTGCACAATCCAATCCACTTTTTTGTTTTTGTGGGACAGTTTGTGTTGCTGACTATCTTGGCCAGGACACCCCTGTAAAAGAGACTTTTGATCTCACTGAGATCTTTTCCTAGTTAAATAATAATAATAATGTTTAAAACTTAAACTTCAGTTTTATATTCATTACTCTAGTACATGCCAATTGTACAACATGTTAAGTATAGTAATATATTGTAGATTTAGTATCCTTTCCACATGAGTAAATGCTCAGTTTTCCTGCCAAATACAGAAAAGTGATCTACAGTTTTTTACATTGTTCACTGTATTCATACAGTAATCTAGTACATATATAGACATAGAGTAGATTTAGTACCACTTTTTATGAGTAAATTTACAGTCATATTGACAAAGCAATTGTGAACCACAGTTTGCTCAGAGTTCAGCACTCGTCTTGCCTACAGGAGTGTTTCCAGTTCATCCTGCCTGCTCTACCCCATGCTATTGACCTGCTGCGGGATGCCATAGTGAAAGTAAAAGAGGTGCATGATGCTCTGGAGGACCTGCCCTCACCTCCTCCACCTCTTTCACCTCTACCCGTCACCAGCCCTCACAAGCAGACTGAGGACAAGGGTGTCCAGTGTGAGGAGGAAGAGGAAGAGAAGAAGGACAGTGGCATCGCCTCCACCGAGGACAGCGGCTCCTCTCACATCACAGCGGCCGCCATCGCTGCAAAGGTGAGCACAGTTGATGGCTAGCATTAATCATGTGCCTAGTGTGCTGGACTATGTGGCAGCACTCTTGGCCCTTTTAACTCTCCTGTTTGGCATAAACATTTCCTCCTAACTGCTCCTGTTTGGCGTATGCTAGTTGCAGTTATGCTAGCCCTCTTTGTTTCACTGTTACTCCAGTTAGCGTGGGTTGTTAGCTAACTGCTGCAGGTATTCATGATAATGTTGTTTTTCTGGGGTTGTTTGAAGCTTTACTACCATCTTCCCCTCCTATTTTCAACATGTGTATATGTTCACTTGTGCCATGTTCACCATCAGAGTATGAAGTCCCATCCCAACTGTGCTATTGTCATGGCCAAAGGTGGGCAGCCCCTGACTGGCTTCATCCCTTTTACCACACTCCCCTCTCATTTCACCTGCTCCTGTAGCAACAAGGTAGGTGTTACCCATTCACCATTTCATCCATGCATCCTCCCCTCTCTTTCATTGGTCTGATTCAGGTCTAGTTTGAAGGACAACCAATCAGGGGACTTTAAAATGTAACTTGAAGGCACAATACAGTGCTATGAAGTTTTTGCCCCCTCCTGATTTCTGCTATTTTTGCATATTTGTCACACTTAATTGTTTCCGACCTTAAAACAGAATTACTCTGTCAACCAATTAACCAAATTTAGTTAATTTTTGGGATCAGTTACACTACACACACCCAGACTCAAATGCTGTCAGCCTTGTTGAACCTTATCAGCAATGTGTCATAGGCTAAAAGGTTTCAACAATCAGCGCACTGTGCCATGATCAAAAGAGATGAGAAAAAATGTTATTGGAATAGATCAATCTAGAAAGGGTTAGAGAGCCATTAAGGCTCTGGCACTTATAGTTGCCAATAACAAAAACGTGATAGAATTTGCAATTAATTATGTCTCATCAGCCCTCTCTTCCTCTATCTCTTTTACTTTCCTCTGTATCTCATTATAGCAAAAATCGGAGAGATACTGTATGAAGCAACATTATGTTTGTCAATAGTATGTTTATGTTCATAAGTAATTTTATGATTTAAATCTGATGAAAACTTCTTTATTGTGTACAGTCTGGCAGAAAGAAAAAAATATCATTTTGCCGTGTTTTGTGCATTTCCTGAAAACTCTGGATTGTTACATAACTATCCTATTCATTATGTACAACGCCCTCCACAAATGTTGGCGCCCATGGTAAACATAAGCAAAATGGGCTGCAAAAAAATTCTTTATTTCTTATCATTTTGATCTTTCATTCAAAATATTACCAAAATCTAACCTTTATTTGAAGTGCAGTGATTGAAAGAAAACAAATTATCATGAAAAATTATTTTTTTCTCAAATCTGTGTGCCACAATAGTTGACACCCCTAGAAATTCTTATGAGTAAAATCTAACTGAAATATATTCCCATTCATATTTAGTTTTTAGGTTCACCTGAGTCATGACTTCCTGTTTCACTGGGGTTAATATGAGGTGACAGGCTAAATTCCCTTAGTCATCTATTGCCAAGAAAAAAGATTGTTGAGCTGCACAAATCAGGAAATGTTGAAAATGCCCATTTCCACTATCAAAGCAGTAATTAGGAAGTTTAAAGCCACGAAAGATATTAAGCATCTGCCAGGACAAAAGTGACAAAAGACACAAGTGACAAAAAACACAAACTGCACAAAGTATTTAATGAAGGGGTGTCAACAATTGTAGCACACCATACATTTGAGAAAAAAAACAATATTTCATAATACAATTTTGATTTTTCTTTCAATCAATGTACTTCATGAAAGATCAAAAGGATAAGCAATAAAGAATGTTTTTTACAGCCTGTTTTGCTAATGTTTACCAGGGGTGCCAATATTTGTGGAGGGAACATGTGATACCCTGGAGGGTGTAGGCCGAAGGAGTACAGAGGAGGTGGTGTCAGAGGTCTTTTATTCTTTCTCTCAAAAAATGAACAAAAATAAAGGGATCCCCTATAAACAAGATAATATTGAACTTGAGGAGGTGTCCCATGCTATTTCCTTGAATATCTTTTCTTTAAATCAGATGAATGGACTGTTTTCCAAGTTTTCGTTGTGGTCAGCATAAAACTGAAAAACAGCAATATCCCAATAATAATATACAGTAATTAATTACAAGAAAATCTGTACACAGTCTGAATTTGCTGTTTATTATAGTGTATATAGTCACACAATGTTTTGGAATAGTTTTGGCATGGTTATGAAAAACTTTAGTTCAATTTATCAATTCATTTATGGAAGCGTATATTTGGTAGCTTGTTTTCTGCATCTGTTATTTGTGTTATGTAACAATTATATATATGTACAAATTATACTGAATTTGCTACATTGTTACAGACCATCTCATTATCTGACCCTCCACCAGGGTGCACCAGGGACCACAATTCAAACCCACAATTCAAAAGTGTAGCAACAGCTAGATCTCTCCTTCAGAACCCTCTCCCACCAACAGAAATGGACCTTAAATCTGCATAAAATGGTGACTGCTGCAGACCCTCAATTTGAGCTATTACATTAAACACTAGGAGGGGCTGGACAGCCAGGACTGAGTAATTAGGGCTGAACGGTAGCAGCTGTGGGTACCATACTTAAGGGGTGCTCACATGCCACTTGGTAGAGGTCTAAACTCCTGCAGATCCGACACAATATCTTGCAGCGCGGGACAAACTTTCAGCGGGCAGAAATATTGAGAGATCCTGCAAATTAATGAATAGCCTAAATAAAGTAGAACAATCACTAAATCATATATGTAAACAATATAACAGTAAAACAGTTCAAATTAATAGTCATTCTTGAGCAACCGATCACGTGAACAACACGCAGATTCACTTTCAAACAGGCTGCGCGCATGAAGCGGCAGAGTCCTAAATACACTGAAATAAGCCATGAAAATTAATTAAAAATTAAACAGAACACCGTATAGAAAGTCAACAGCCACAGCTGCCCAGCAAAACCCCCAAAATAACCGCTCTGTGGTTTAATTCCTGCTTTATGTTTAATGGGAATGGGAGTTTGAGTTCAGTTTTGAGGGTTCTTAGTTTGATTCATCCTTGTAAGCCTTTAAGTTTGCACGCCGTGGTGGCAACGCAGTGATTGAGGTTTTGATCCTCAGTCCTCGTGACCCGTCTCTTCCCTTGTTTTATGCTTTTCCCCCTTTACTTCATTTCTTGTCTAATTTCTATTTTTCCCATTTCTTAATTTCTTTCGTTTGAGTTGCATATTTCTCCTGCTGCTCAGTTGCTCTGCATTTGAGGCTGTCCTCTATTCTTCGCCGGGTGGTTCGTCCCTTAGCACTCCTGACTACTGACACCAGGGTTGTGAGTTCGATTCTCTTTCAAGGTGAACCCCCTGGTGCTTTTGTTTGTTAATGTTGTCTATGGTATGCCAAACACAGTCAGTTGGAGCAAGAACAGTTACTGACCTTCAGGGACAGCGTTGAACTGATATTATTCTGGAATTTATTCAAATACCTTCAGAGTTTTTGGAAAGCAACAACAGATTAAAAGAACTATTTGTTGACTCTGCTCAAACCTGGCAAGGAAGCGAAGGAGAGGCAGAAGGGCCAGGACACTTCTAAGGCTGAGACAGCATGGGTCTCAAACACCATCTTTATTTCTGTCCAGTCTGTAACCTCTACACAGCTCACTGTCTGCAGCTGGATAGGTGCAGATAGTGAGCTGCACCTATCCAGCCTTCAGCTGCACAGATCAGACAGAGATGCGGAGCTCAGTGGCAACACCAGGGGAGGAGGATTCTGCTTCTATATCAACAAATCCTGGTGACAGACAGCATGTCACTTGTGCCATGAGAGAACATTTTGGAACATTGTTACACCACTATTAAAAATGCTTATCATGCCATCATGCACATGCTTATCATGCCATCATGCACAGTACTCTGTCATTCTGATCACAGTCTCCTTCACCTCATCCCAACGTACAGGCAGAAACTCAAATCCAACAAGCCTGTGTACAGTGAAGAAGTGTACCAGTGGAGACTTGAAAAGGTACAGGGCTGTTTTGAATCCTCAAACTGGACTGTTTTTGAAGAGTCGACAGGCAGTCTAAATGATAATACAAGATGGAGAAAGGGATTAAAGCAGCAAATAACAAATACTCAAAAAAGCTGAAACGCCACATTGTTGCAACAACCTAACTTCAGTTTGGAAAGGCCTTGAAGAGATTGCTAACTACAAGGTGAGCAAAACTTCCTTTTTCTGAATGACTGCCAACTTACCAATGACCTGAATGAGTTCTACTGCAGATTTGAACATACAAAGGACAATCTTCAGACTCTATCTGCCAGTCCCCTGCCCTCCTCCACCACCCTGGCTCTCTCACATACCCTTTCTCTTACCTGTCCTGGCTCTCTCTTTCCCACCCTGACTCACCTACCATTTCTGTCTCACCTCTGCCCCCTACTCATCTCACCATTAACAAGCAGGACGTTAACAGGCTTTTCAGCAATCAGAAGGTGAGAAAAGCTCTGGGGCCAGATGGAGTCTCTCCATCAATCCTAAAGCAGTGCTGTGACCAACTAGCATTAATTTTACCAAAATCTTCAACAAATCACTGGAACTTTGCTTTGTTCCTACGTGCTTTGAAACTAAAACTAAATCTACCATCATTCCAGTCCTCAAAAAACAAACATTACTGGACTAGTGGCCCTGACCGCTGTCGTCAGTAAGGTCTGTAATTGTCTGGTCCTAGCCCACCTGAAGGCCATTAAAAACCCTGTGCTGGATCCCCTGCAGTTCACATACATGGCCAACAGGTCTGTTGACAGTGCGGCCAACTTGGCCCTGCACTTAACAGGCTACAGCATCTTGACAGTCCTGGAACCTATGCAATAGTTTTGCTTGTGGGCTTCAAGCTCTGCTTTCAACACCGTAGTCCGAGTCAGATCTCAGCTGTCTGTGCCAGATCCCATCTGCCAGTGGATCATGTATTTCCCAACAAACAGGCGACAGTGTGACTACGAAAACACACATCAAATCCTCGGACCTTCAGTCTTTACCCATGACTGTGTCTCTGAAGAACCAGCTGTGAAGATCCTGAAGTTTGTAGATGACAAAATTGTGGTGGGCCTCTTGTGGTGGGATGAGTCTGCCTACAAAAAGGAAGTTGAGCAGCTGGTCCCCTGCTGCTCATTACACAAAAGACTGTAGAGATGGTGGTGGACTACAGGTGCAACCCTTTCTCCCTACCCCCCCTCAACATCAATGGAGTCACTCAAATTTCTGGGCACCACCATATCCAGGTACCTGAAGTGAGAAAGTAGCATGCGCTCTGTAGCCAGAGGGCACAGCAAAGAATGTTCTTCCTGAGACAGCTGAATTCAACCTGACGCAGAGCCTTATGCTCCAGTTCTACACAGTGAGTCCATCCTCACATCATCCATATCCA